GTGGTCTCGATCTCCTGACCTTGTGGTCCGCCCGCCTCGGCCTCCCAAAGTGCTGGGATTACAGGCGTGAGCCACCGTGCCCGGCTGGATTTTTTTTTTTTCTTTTGTATTTTTAGTAGAGACGGCGTTTCACTATGTTGGCCAGGCTGGTCTCAAACTCCTGACTTTGTGATCCACCTGCCTTGGCCTCCCAAAGTTCTGGGATGTCAGGCATGAGCCACTGTGCCTGGCCAACCAGGGGTTTCTTTAGAGGCTTCATCACATAGGAGTGAAGGATAATTAACTCCATTTCCAACTTTCTTCCCCTTCCTGGAGAATGGGACTGAAAGTTCCTAGTTTCTAATCAACAGCTTGGTCTTGCTGGTGACCAGCCCCCACCCAGAAGCCCACCAAGAGTCACCTCATTAGAATAAAAGATGTCCCCATTACCCAGGAAACTCCAAGGGATCCAGAGCTCTGTGTCAGAAACAGAATTCAAAGACCAAACATTAGCACAAAAGGCCAGGCGCGGTGGCTCACGCCTGTAATCCCAGCACTTTGGGAAGCTGAGGCAGGCAGATCACGAGGTCAAGAGATCAAGACCATCCTGGCTAACATGGTGAAACCCCGTCTCTACTAAAAATACAAAAATTGACTGGGCATGGTGGCGGGCACCTGTAGTTGCAGCTACTTGGGAGGCTGAGGCAGGAGAATCACTTGAACCTGGGAGGCGGAGGTTGCAGTGAGCCGAGATTGCACCACTGTACTCCAGCCTGGCAACAGAGCGAGACTCTGTCTCAAAAAAAAAAAAAAAAATCAGCACAAAAGATTCTAGCACTCCTATTACTCAGAAACTCATAAGGGTTTTAGGAGCTGTGTGCTAGGGACTGGAGGTAGAGACCAATGCATATCGTTACTATTATTTCACAGCCATCAATTTCACTTCGGCCTAATTGCTTCTGCAGGACTGTGAGCCGACTCATTTCTGGGATCCATCGGCACAGGAGGGGCCAGATCTTTCTCCGCTAAAACCATTGCCCTACAGACCCAGCTGTCCCCACGCCTCTATTTTTCGGGTCAAGTCTTAATCCCTGCACCTAGGTTGGTCCTCCCTCTCCACCCCCACCACCTCCTGTCCCTCTGGCAACTGGAAAGAGAGAGTTGACCTGATTTTAAGCCTTTTGCCGCTCCAGGGACCAGCGTCAACCCTGGGCAGCCAGTGTCTCTTGTAGAGAAGACTTAGGATACCTCTCTCACTTGCTGTTTCTTGCCACCCACCCTGAGCCATCCCAGTGTGTCCCTCTGGGTCCCTGCAAAACTCTAGTCAGTTCAAGGATGCCCCTCCCAGGTTATGCTTTTCTATAACTTTTAAATAAACCTCGGGGAGTGATGGAGTCATTCCTGCCTGTTATGTTTCATGATGAGGTGCAAGTTGCTGCTGCCCCACCCTGGGGTGAAGCCAGTGCGATCTTTGCCACCCCAAGCTCTCCTAACAGACAGCTCTCGAGGGGCCAAGCAGTAGCCGCTGGCTGCAAATTGCACTTCCCAGCTGGTGACCTTGAAACAATTGGTCACTCTCTGGTACCTCTCAGCTTGTCTGTAGAATAAGGGTCACTGCGCTCGCTCTGCTTAGATTCCAGGGCTGTGGTGAGTCCAGCTGATGGACACAGAAGCCCTCTGCAAGCTCTTATGGGCTGCCTGGAGGCCACTGGTAAGTCAGGTGGGCCAGGAGTGGACCAAGGACAGAGCTCTGGTGCCAGGCGCTAGTGACAATTCTGCAGGTGGAGGCCTGAGTCACCACCTGATGATGCTGTCTTCGGTCCTTGGCAACCTGAGTTTCCATCACAACAGAGAATGATCTGGATGAAAACCAACGCACATTGGCTGGGCACAGTGGCTCACATCTGTCATCCCACGACTTTGGGAGGCTGAGGTGAGTGGATCACCTGAGGTCAGGAGTTCAAGGCCACCCTGGCCAATATGGTGAAACCCCATCTCTACTAAAAATGCAAAAATTAACCAGGCGTGGTGGCGGGCGCCTGTAATCCCAGCTACTCGGGAGGCTGAGGCAGGAGAGATGTTTGAATCCGGGAGGCAGAGCTTGCAGTGAGCCGAGATCGCATCACTGCCCTCCAGGGTGACAGAGCGAGAGTCTGTTTCAAAAAAAAAGGAAAACCAAGCACATCATCTCTTAGGGGACACCCTGGTGGTTTGGGGTCAGGGACTGGGATGAAGTTGCAGAAGAAATGCAGTCAAGTTCAGTGTTCAGGCTCCACCGCACACTATGTGGGTGATCCAGACAGGTTCCACAAGCTCTCTCAGCCTCAATTTTGCCCCCCTGGGAAATGGGGGTGATAATACTGCCTGCCTCATAGCGCTTTGTTGGGGACCAAATACACTGTGATGTGTAACATGTACAGCACACAGTATATGCTGTGTATTTATTAACACAATGAATATCCTGGCCATTGGAGTTCCCCTGGAACCAGGAAGGGTAGTGTGGGGGCTGATGGCCCGGGAACATGCCCACCTTTTTTTTTGAGACAGAGTCTCCCTGTGTCACCCAGGCTGGAGTGCAATAGCACAATCTCCGCTCACTGCAACCTCCACTTCCCAGGTTCAAGCGATTCTCCTGCCTCAGTCTCCTGAGTAACTGGTATGACAGGCATGCACCACCAACCCTGGCTAATTTTTGTATTTTTAGTAGAGATGGAGTTTCACCAAGTTGGCCAGGCTGGTCTTGAACTCCTGACCTCAAGTGATCCACCCACCTCGGCCTCTCAAAGCACTGGGGTTTTAGGCATGAGCCACTGCACCTGGCTGCCCAACTTCCTCCCCTTCCCTTGTCTTTTTTCTTTTCTTTAGTGGAGTCTTGCTCTGTTGCATAGGCTGGAGTGCAGGGGCATGATCTTGGCTCACTGCAACCTCCACCTCCCGGGTTCAAGTGATTCACCTGCTTCAGTCTCCCGAGTAGCTGGGATTACAGGCGCCCACCACCACGTGTGGCTTTTTTTTTTTTTTTTTTTTTCCAGTAGAGGCAGGGTTTCAACATGTTGGCCAGGCTGGTCTCAAACTCCTGACCTCAGGTGATCTGCCCACCTCGGCCTCCCAAAGTGCTGGGATTACAGGTGTGAGCCACTGCACCCCATCAGGTCACCCAACTTTCAACCTGGCCTGACCTTGGCCAAGGTGTTTAACTTCTCCAAGCCTCAGTTTTCCCTGTAGAACGAGGATGGTAATAGCATCTATCCCGTGAGGTTGTAGTGGCAACCAAAGTAGTCAATCATCCTAAAATACTTAGACACTCACGCCTGCTATTCCAGCACTTTGGGAGGCCAAGGCAGTAAGATCACTTGAGCCCAGGAGCTCAAGACAAGCCTGGGCAATATAGGGACACCCCTATCTCTGTTTTTTTTGTTTTTCTTTTTGAGACGGAGTCTTGCTCTGTCGCCCAGGCTGGAGCGCAGTGGCTCTATCTCAGCTCACTGCAAGCTCCGCCTCCTGGTTCACACCATTCTCCTGCCTCAGGCTCCCGAGTAGCTGGGACTACAGGTGCCCGCCACCATGCCCAATTAATTTTTTGTATTTTTAGTAGAGACAGGGTTTCACCATGTTAGCCAGGATGGTCTCGATCTCCTGACCTCGTGATCTGCCTGCCTTGGCCTCCCAAAGTGCTGGGATTACAGGCGTGAATCACCGCGCCTGGCTGGGACACCCCCATCTCTAAGAAAAATAAATTTTAGGCCAGGTGTGGTGGCTCACGCCTGTAATCCCAGCACTTTGGGAGGCTGAAGCAGGAGGATCATGTGAGCTCAGGAGTTTGAGACAAGCCTGGACAACGTGGTGAAATCCCGTCTCTACTAAAAATACGCAAATTAGCCAGGTGTGGTGGCACACACCAGTAGTCCCAGCTACTTGGGAGGCTGAGGCACAAGAATCATTTGAACTCGGGAGGTGGAGGTTGCAGTGAGCCAAGACTGTGCCACTGTAGTCCGGCCTGGGTGACAGGGTGAGACTCTGTCTCAAAAACAAAGAGAAAGAAAAAGAAATTTAAAAAAATTAGCTGGGTGTAGTGGCGTGCACCTTTGCTCCCAGCTACTTGGGAGAGGCTGAGGTGGGAGGATTGCTTGAGCCTAGGAAGCGGTGACCACAGTGAGCCATGATCGCGCCACTGCACTCCAACCTAGGCAACAGAGCAAGACCCTGTCTCAGAAAAAATTAAAAAAAAATTGGAATGGTGTCTGGTATGCAGTACCTGATCAGGAAGCATGAGTCGTTATTACCAGTCTGGGGAGCCCACAAGGCCTTCTGCTTCCCCAGACACGAGATCTGCCTCGCCCAGCCCGAAGGCAGGATCTGCTTACTTCAAGAACTTGCCAACGGGCAGGCAGACTTAACCCAAAATAACTTTATTATCGTCTCCACTTTGATATAAAAGCATTCTCCAAATGGAGGGCAAATGCGGCAAGTCACGTGGGGTCTGGGCCCCCTGCACACCCTTCTGCTCCGAGGGATAAGCCCTGTGCCCACCCCAGTTGCCCACTGCCATGTCCTGCCAACCACCCACCCCCCCCCCAACCAGGGCAAGCCACAGTGCAGTACAGAAGTGAAAGCCTGAGATTGACCAGACACGGTCACCACAGGGCCTCTTCCTGACCTTGGCTGTGGGGCGGGGGGTGCACATTGCAGCTTCTTCTTGTCTCCAGGAAAGACTGAGTAACTGGGGGTCCCCCGGGGCTGGCACAGAGGCCCGGGCAGAGGCTGGGCTCGCTTGAGGTTGACGTGTAGCATTTCACTCTTCCTGAGTTTCGGGGTTCCACCTGATCAGCTGTCACTGCTGGGGATCAGTCCTTCCCAGTTCCAGAAGCCCCCTTCTCTGGACAGCTGAGGCCCATTGAGGCTCCTCCAACTAAAGCAACTGCAGCTGCACCTTCAGCCGCAAGGCCTGGCCCCGTGGCCCTGGCTGCCCCTCTGGCTGGACACCCCAGGGTCCTGCCACGTTGCTCACCACCTCCAGCTGGTAGATTCCAGGCCTCGGCCGCCTCCGCCCCAGCTGCAGGGAGCTGAAGCCACGGAGGTGACGCATGCGGAAGAAACCTTGCTCATTTCCACGGGCAATGACGTAGCGGACCCGGCCCTCCAGACCCTCCAGGGCCGGCCGGAGCTCCACGATGCGCTTGGCCCGGCCCAGGTGTGAGAGGTTCAGACCCAAGGTCAGCAGGGCCTCGGAGTCAAGGGTGGCCAGGCTCACCTGGGAAGAAAGGCCAGGTGTGTGGTCAGAGCCCACGATAATCCGGATGTGGAGTGGGTAGGGGGTCCTGGGATTGTGGCCAAAGAGGAGATTTTGACCAGTCTCTAAAGTGAAGGAAAGAGCCATAAAAAGGAATGAAATCATATCATTTGCAGCAATGTGGATGCAGCTGGAGGTCATTATCCTAAGCTAATTAATGGAGAAACAGAAGACCAAATACGGCGTGTTCTCAGTTATAAGCGGGAGCTAAAAATTACTTACCCGTAGACACAAAGATGGGAAGAACAGACAATAGGACTACTAGAGCAGGGAGAGAGGGAGGGAGACAAGGGTTGAAAAATGACCTATTGGGAGGCCAGGCGCGGTGGCTCACGCCTGTAATCCCAGCATTTTGGGAGGCCGAGGCAGGTGGACCACAAGGTCAGGAGTTCAAGACCAGCCTGACCAATACGATGAAGTCCTGTCTCTGCTAAAAATACAAAAATTAGCTGGGCGTAGTGGTGGGCGCCTATAGTCCCAGCTACTTGGGAGGCTGAGGCAGGAGAATCGCTTGAACCCGGGAGGTGGAGGTTGCAATGAGCTGAGATCACGCTACTATACTCCAGCCTGGGGGACAGAGCAAGACTGTCTCAAAATAATAATAATAATAAATAAATAAAAGGAAAACTACCTATTGGGAACTATGTTCACTGCTTGGATGAGGGATCAGCAGAAGCCCAAACCTCCTCATCATCCAATATACCCATCTATTAATAACAAACCTGTACCCTCTGAATCTAAAACGAAAAACAGGCTGGACACAGGGGCTCATGCCTATAATTCCAGCACTTTGGGAGGCTGTGGCAGGAGCTGAGGCCAGGATTTCTTTGTTTCTTTCTTTTCTTTTCTTTTCTTTTCTTTTCTTTTCTTTTTTTTTTGAGATGGAATCCCGTTCTGTTGCCCAGGCTGGAGTGCAGTGACATGATCTCAGCTCACTACAACCTCTGCCTCCCAGGTTCAAGTGATTCTCCTGCCTCAGCCTCCCAAGTAGCTGGGATCACAGGTGCCTGCCATCGTGACTGGCTAATTTTTGAATTTTTAGTAGAGACGGGGTTTCACCATGTTGGCCAGGCTGGTCTCAAACTCCTGGCCTCAAGTGATCCCCTCACCTCGGCCTCCCAAAGTGTTGGAATTACAGGCATGAGCCACCATGCCCGGCCAAGGCCAGGATTTCAAGGACAGAAGGCAACACAGTGAGACCTCATCCACCCACAAAAAGTGAAAATATTAGTGCTGGTGTGCATCTGTAGTCCCAGCTACTTGGGAGGCTGAGGCGGGAGGTCCCAGGAGTTCGAAGCGGCAGTGAGCTGTGATCACACCTCTGCACTCCAGCCTGGGTAACAGACTGAGACCCTGTCTCAAAAATATATACATATGTTTATTAGGCACCCACTGAATTCCTGGCAATCTTTGAGGCACTGGGGGTTCAGCAATGAGCAGATAAAACTCCTTCCCCTCAGGGAGTTTACCTTCTAGTAAAGCAAAGCAGATAGTAAACAAATACATGGAAAACGTAAAAGTGACAAGATGTGCTATGAAAAACCATGAAGTTGGCTGAGGGCAAAGGTGGACAGATCGCTTGAGCCCAGGAGTTTGAGACCAGCCTGAGTAACATGGTGAAACCCTGTCTCTATTAAAAATGCAAAAAATTAGCCAGGTGTGGTGTTGCATGCCTGTAGTCCCAGCTACTGGGAAGGCTGACATGGGAGGATCCCTTGAGCTCAGGAGTTCAAGCTGCAGTGAGCTATGATTGCACTGCTGCATTTTAGCCTGGGTGACACAGTGAGAGCAGGCTCCCCGAAAAAAAAGAAATTGATTTTAAAAATCAATAAATAGGCCAGGCACAGTGGCTCACGCCTATAATCCCAGCACTTTGGGAGGCTGAGGTGGGCGGATCACGAGGTCAGGAGATCGAGACCATCCTGGCTAACATGGTGAAACCCCGTCTCTACTAAAAATACACACAAAAAAATTAGCCAGGCAAAGTGGTGGGCGCCTGTAGTCCCAACTACTCAGGAGGATGAGGCAGGAGAATGGCGTGAACCTGGGAGGCGGAGCTTGCAGTGAGAGGAGATCACACCACTGCACTCCAGCCTGGGCGAGAGAGCAAGACTCCGTCTCAAAAAAAAAAAAAAAAAAAATCAATAAATAGGGTGGGCACGGTGACTCATGCCTGTACTTCCAGCACTTTGGGAAGCTGAGGTAGGTGGATCACTTGAGCCCAGGAATTTGAGACCAGCCTGGGCAACACAGTGAACCCTGTCTCTACAAAAAATACAAAAATTAGCTGGGCAGGCGTGGTGGTACACGTGCCTGTGGTCTCAACTACTTGGGGGATTGAGGTGGGAGGATCGCTTGAGCCCAGGAGTTCAAGGCTGCAGTGAGCCAAGATTGCGCCACTGCATTCCAGCCGGGATGACAGAGTGAGACCTTGTCTCAAAAAATAAAAAGAAAAAAAAAAAAGGAATAAAAAATAAAGTGGAGGAAAATACTGCTTCCCTTGGCATCTCAAGTCTGGTTCTTCATCCGCAAGGCCAGTGGTCAGCTGGATCTGTAGACTCAGTGGCATAAGGCTGAGGCTGCTTCTGAGAGAGGCAGGGAGACAGCCACTGTTACACACTACAGATCCCTGGTCTCAGCTAAGGGACCTTGCTCAGACCCCTGCCAGCCTGGGCCAAGGGAATCAAAGATTTGCTCTCAGAGACCCAGCAGCCAGGGGATTATTCAGATGACATTGGGACCCAGAGCCCTAAGGTCACTCAGAAGCGTCTTGGGATGGTTGGTGTTAGGAACAAGGGCCTTTCCACAGAACCCAGCCCCTAAAAGAATGCCAGAGCTGACAGAGAAACGGGATGCCAAGCAGGGCCAGAGAGGAGAGCGTAAAGGACCAGACAGAAGAGCCGCCTGATAGCTTCCGCTGTGCTTCCTGCATCTGGCTCTCTTTGAGAGCCCCCTGTGTGCCAATGACAAACCCTTCTTTATTTAAGCTCCTCTGAAGTGCTTTCCTGGTCTTGGCAGCTGGACAGGGCCCTGAATAAGACAGCGAGCCTCAATGGCAGGCTATCCCAGGGCTGGGTGACGTATCCAATCCCACAGAAAGTCATCTGTGTTTTCTTTGCCTTTGTTTTGGGGAGCACTGTGTTGGTTTGGCCTCATTTACATGCCGATGGAGTGTTTTGCTGTTGCATTCAAGTGAAAGTTATTCCTGTTCCCCAGACCCTCAATTCCGGAGATCTCAGGCCTTCTTCCCACGGAATGTTGTTAAGACTTATGCTCTTACCGACACCTGCTGGCAGTCAGTGGGTATTGCAGGCAAAGGCACAACATAGCCCTATTTTTGAGACATGGTCTCAGTCTGTCACCCAGGTTGGAGTGCAGAGGTGTGATCACAGCTTACTGCCGCTTCGAACTCCTGGGTTCAAGTAATCTTCCCGCCTCAGCCTCCCAAGTAGCTGGGACTACAGGCACATGCCACCACAGCTGGCTAATATTTTTACTTTTTGTGAGTGGAGGGGGTCCCACTATCTTACCCAGGCTGGTCTCAAAATCCTGGCCTTGGTTGGGCACGGTGGCTCACATCTGTAATCCTAGCAGTTTGGAAGACTGAGGTGAGCTGATCACTTGAGGCCAGGAGTTTGAGACCAGCCTGGCCAACATGGCGAAACCCCGTCTCTACTAAAAATACAAAAATTAGCCCTTCTCTGTCTTGATCTACTTGTGCCCTGGGACCCTGACAACCACTCCACTCACAAAAATTAGCCCTTCTCTGTCTTGATCTGCTTGTGCCCTGGGACCCTGACAACCACTCCACTCACTCTTATTGAGTACCAAGGGGTGCCAATACAGTAGTAAATCCTACAGACACAGTTCTGCCCTTATGAAGTCTACAGAAAATACCAGTAACTATGGGATAATATATATATCCACAGTTTTTCCCAGCAAGGGGGAAAAATAACTAGAGGGGAAAAGGGCCTTTCAGTAATACAAAGTAATACACTCACATTTTATCTAATATAGAAAGCCTCTCAAGCCCAATAACCATATCCCATTTCTCACTTTGTTTTTCCCCATAGCACTTATCATGTATCATATTTGTCATGTGTTATAAAATATGATATGTTTTACATGTTGATTTCTTGTGTGTCTCCCTTTTAGAATATCAGTCTCACGAGGGCAGGTGTTTTTGTTGTTGTTTTTGTTCGCTGTTGCTCCATTACAGTGCCCAGCAGCAGTATTCAGTAAAATCCATGGAGTGAAGAAGCTTCGTCCTAAATGTCTGCAGTGGGGGTGAGCTTGGGGTAATGGTTTCCATGCTCAATGATAATTGTTTGGGAAACAATGTAAAGTGGTGGCTTCGGAAGGCAGAGGGGCCCAGGATGGCTGGCCATGGATGCCAAGGCTGCTTGTAAAGAGAAGTCCATGTGCCATAGCCATGGAATCTCTGAACCTCCATGTTCAAGTTCTGTAACTTGGGCATGTGCCCTAACCTCTCTGAGCCTCAGTTCCTCCATCTGTAAATTTGGGATAATAGTGGCATCTAGACCGGGTGCAGTGGCTCATGCCTGTAATCCTAGCACTTTGGGAGGCTGAGATGGGCAGATCACCTGAGATCAGGAGTTCGAGACCAGCCTGACCAACATAGAGAAACCCTGTTTCTACTAAAAATACAAAATTAGCTGGGTGTGGTGGTGCACACCTGTAATCCCAGCTACTCGGGAGGCTGAAACAGGAGAATCGCCTGAACCCGAGAGGCAGAGATTGCAGTCAGCTGAGATTGTGCCATTGCACTTCAACCTAGGCAACAAGAGCGAGACTCCATCTCAAAAAATAAAAAATAAATAAAATAAATAGTGGCATCTACACCTCCCAGGGTTGTCATAAACATTGACAGGCTATGAACACAGAGCACTTGGAGTGATATCTGCATACAGCAGGTGTTGAATACATTTTTGACTTTCAGATCCCTTGGGTGATGGCTACAGGACTGACCCGTAGTCAGGGACTCTTCAGTTGAGGGGCAAGCAGCTGGCAGCTGTGGCAAAACTGCCCTCTCTGCACACCTTGATGGGGTGGCCCGAGGGGGGCAGGAGGGATGGAGGCATAGGCCTGCCCTACGGCTACCGAGTGGTGTGTTGAAGATCCCTGAGATTCCTAGAGACAAGACAGGTTCAGGAACTCCAGGAGCACCTCAGGCACAAGAGCGGTACAGGGCAGATGCTGAGTGGGTATAGGTTGGGGTCCTGAGGCTCCTAAGGGGAGCCTTTGCTGGGGTCCCCAGAGAAAAGACTCGCCTCCCCAAGGCTCAGACAGGGAAGGGGCTTGGGCTTAACTTGGGCTAAGGGTTTGTGAGAACAGCCCAGAGGAATGCACAGAAGAGCTGAGATGGGCAGAGCTGTGGCACAGAGGCCACTTAGGGCCCCATTGGAACTAAATCCCAAAAGGGTCCCAAGGGAGGGCTTCACCAACTAGGAGGTGAGGAGGTGACAGATTCCAGGGTGCAGGCAGGGTTGGAGGGGCCCGGGTATGTCCCCACATCCAAGTGCCTTTATAAACGGGACCCAGAGAGAGCGTCACAGCCCGGCCAGGATCTGTTTGGAAGATGCCTGACTTGTCACCAGGAGTGAGGTAGAGTGCTCAGGAGATGTGTCCCCCAAGACCCCCCAAGAAAAATCCCAGGGCTGAGAAAGCACGAGAAGATCCCAAGCCAGCACATGACATGGGGAACCTGCTGGGATGTGGAGCCTGGTGCTCCTTCTTGGGAGGCTGACATGACTAAGTCGGGTCCACAGCCTCTTTCCTACACTCACCCGTTCCCTGGCCACCCCCGCCCAGTGCAGCACCCATGTCACCTGGTGGTCCCTGTGGGCACTGCGTCGTGGCCGGTCCCGGGCAGAGAGGCCGTTGATCTTGCATTCGTAGCAGGCTTCAGTCGAGAGCAGCTCCTCTTTGTCCGGGGCGTCCTGGGGTCCGGGGCTGAAGCCCAGGCCAAAGACACAGTGCCTGCAACAGGATGAGCAGGGTGGGGGATTTCAGAGGTAGGCTCCTGGGACCTCCCCAGCCACCTCGCTCCACCCGCATACTCTTTTCTGAGTCATGCTGCAGATGCCCACGCACACATGTGCCTCTAAGCATGTGCTGGTGTGACTCCGTGTGCATGAGTGTGTGTGCACCACATAAGGGTGTGCATGTGAGTCCCTTGGTTCACCTGGGCATAGGTGTGAACACAGGAGTGAGAGGACAGGCACAGGCTGGGATGGACAAATGGACATTAGCATACCCAGGGCGTGCGCGTGTGCCAACCTGTGTGTTCACATGGGGAATATCTCATGTGGGCACATGTGTGCTTGTAGGAATGTGTGAATCTCCCTGAGTGTGCCCGGGGCGGGGGGTGTGTATAATGTGAGCACTCATAGACAGCTGATGCATGCCTCCTCACCTGTGCAAACCAGGATGTAGCAATGGCACAGTGCCCCCAGGGATGCGGGCATGCATGAGCCTGAGTGCACGCTTGGACATGCGTGTGCGCGCACACACACACACGTGTACATGCTGGGATCTGTAAATGCACGAGGGTGCCCACGCATACTGGTACGGGTGTGCGCCATGTGGACAACTGCATGTTAGTGGTGTGAGCCTGTGTGTGCACAGATACAGGTGCCACTGTAACTCTGTGTGTCCAGGACTCTGTGCATATGTGGGTAAATGCCTGCATGCATGGGCAGAAGGAGCTCTTCTGGTAAATTCTTGGCATGCACAAAGCCCCGTGTGTGTGCGTGTGTGTGTGTGTGTGGTTGCATGCACATGCATGGATGCTTGCAGGGCATAGAGTCTGTTCACGCCACTCCAGCCTCTCACCCTTGCCCAGCCCGGAAGAAGCCTTGAGGACAGCCACACAGGAAGCCACCGGGAGTGTTGGCACAGCTGTAGCTACAGGGGCCACGCCGTCCGGCGCACTCATCCACATCCTGGCAGCCCCCAAGGGTCTGATCAAAGTCAAAGCCAGAGGGGCAGACGCAGCGGAAGCCACCAAGAGTGTTGCGACACGAGGCGCTCCCGCAGGTCGGGGGCGACAGGGCACACTCATTCTCATCTGTGGGAGGAAAGGAGGAGGAGAGGGAGGACACAGAGGTGGGGCAGGGCAGCCTTCTCACCCCCAGAGCCCTCCACCTGAAATACTCTCTGTTCAGAGCCCAAGTCCAATGTCAAAGCCTCCAGCAACCTGGCAGTGAGCCCTGAGACTAGATCGGCCCCATAGCCCTGCTGCCCCAAACCCTGTGGTTCTCCTTCACTGCATCTCTCAACACTTCCCCTAAACCCCAAAGTGTGGGATGATCTAGAACAAGCTTTCTCACCCTCAGTGCTATGGACATTTGGGGCCGGATCTTTCTCTAGGGAGGAGCCGTCCTTGCACTGTGGGACGATGAACAGTACCCCTGGCCTCCACCCGCTTGATGCCAGGAAAATCCATTTGCCTCCAATTGTCTGTTTAGAGCTGGGAGTTTCACTCTGTTGCTCAGGCTGGAGTGCAGTGGTGCAACCATAGTGCACTGTAGCCTTGACCTCCTGGGCTCAAGGGATCCTCCTGCCTCAGCCTCCCAAGTAGCTGGGACTACAGGTGTGCACCAATATGCCTGACTAATCTTTTAACTTTTTGTAGAGATGGGGGTCTTTCTATGTTGCCTAGGCTGGTCTTGAACTCCTGGTCTCAAACGATCCTCCTACCTCAATATCCCACAAGAGTGAACTACCACGCTGGATCCCAGTTGTGATGATCAAAAATGTCTCCCAGACACTTCAAAATGTACTATAGGGGATGAAATGGTCCTCTGTTGAGAACCTAGTTAGGGGTCTAATTTATTCCTGTTTCCTTTGCTGGACTGAACAACTCAAGGCAGAAATGGTTTTTCAGCTCACTTCTGCATCTGAGCTCAGGGCCTAGTGAAAGGCAGGTCCTTGGCAAACAGTTGGGGAAAGAATGAATGAGTCAGTACAGAGAGGAGGAGACAAGTCGAGGAAGAGTTGCCAGCAAAGGCCAATGGTCTGTGGGATCCCCAAGATCCCCAGCGGACAAGCACCTTGCCTCGGGGGGCAGGGTCATGTGGTATGGGAAGCCCGAGAACTTAGCTAAAGACCCACCATGAGAGACAAAAGGAGAGGGCAGAGAAGGCAGTGCCTGTGAGGCAGTGGGAGAGCAGGGACAGCCACATCACCAAGGCCACAGGAGAGTGTGTCCAGGAGGGGCAGACTGTGGTGCCCAGAGTAGTGGAGGTAGAGGATGGAGGCCAAGGAGAGGTCTCAAGAGAGAGCAAGTGGGCCCGAAAATGGTAGAGGGTGAAAGCTGCACTGTAGTGGAGGAATGAAAAGAGCAGTGAAACGGGCTGCCAGGAGGTCCTGGAGCAGCCAGAAGAAGGGGGAAGGTTGCAGGGCAGAAGGCTAGCTCCCCAAATAAAGGGCCTCTGCAACAGCTATGACAATGATATAGCATTCACACCTCCATGGCCCCTTGCAGCACCCATAGCAGACATCAGTAATCACACTCATGGCAGACATCACTAATCAATCACAGCACTCTTTCCCTGTGATCACAGAATTGCAGACTTCAGGTCTCAGAATCTTTCTCAACTGAGTCCTCCAGGCCACCATGCCCTAAGGAATGAACTCAGACACTTTTCCATGCTTATTCTGCTGCACCTTGACTCCCCAGCAGTGGGGAACTCACTACCTTCTGGGCTAGCCTGTTCAATCTTTATATAATTGAGCTTGTCACAACATCTTGCAGGGTAGTGTCTGTTAGTCGCCTGCTCTGAGCAGATTCTGGTGGGGGCCCCAGCTTCTTCCCAGCCCCTTCCACTCACCCACACACTGGGCCCACTGGGAGTGCTGGGTGAAACCCTGGGGGCAGCCGCAGCGGTAGCCCCCTAACTGGTTCTGACAGCCATGCTGGCAGCGGTGGGGTCCATCACATTCATTCACATCTGAGACAGAGAGAGGGAGACAGGGTTTACCAGACGGCTCTCAGGACCAACACCCCCAAACACTAGACCCCAGCCAAAGCTGGGCTTTACCTTCACAGCCATGGCCTGAGCTGTCCAGGGTGAAGCCTTGGTGGCATTCACAGCGGAAGCTGCCCGGGGTGTTGTGGCAGTGCCCGCGGGCACCACATGGGCCAGGCTGGGCTGAGCACTCATCATTGTCTGCAGAAGAGAGAGATCGGGCAGGGTTGCTTGCTGGTTAAGGAACTCGTGTCAGGTGACACAATGCCAGTCCCACCACTGTGTGGCTTCAGGCAAGTTGCTCACCCTCTCTGTGCCTATTTCCCACGCTGTGAAATGAGATCTGTAACAGTTCCTGACTCACAGAATAGACGCCAATCTTTGAGATCCTGCACATAAAGAATCTCATCTCCACCGCCTTGAAGCTGTGTGTCCTTGGGCAACTTACCTACCTTCTCTGTGCCTCGATGTCCTCAGCTGTAACATGGAGATGATAATGTCTACCTCACTGCATTTTTGTGTGTGTGCGAGAGAGAATTAAATTAACCTAATCTTGTAAAAGACTTAGGGCAGTGCCTGGTAAAAGAGTAAAAGATAAACAAAGCCTCTTTTCCTTCTCCCATGGAAAAATGACATTGGGTTGCTTGTTGAGTTTTGTTCTCATGGAAACCTGACAATAATGTGAGGTCAGCTGGTGCCATGGACTGAATGTTTGTATCTCTCCAAAATCCTATGTTGAAGCCCCAACCCCCAGTGGGATGGTATTTGGAGATTAGGTCTTGGGGAGGTGATCAGGGTTAGAGAAGGTCATCAGGGTAGGGCTTTTATGATGAGAATAGTGCCCTTATAAGAAGAGACACCAGAAAGCTTGCTCTGTCTCTGCCAAGTGAGGATACAGCAAGAAGGCGGCTGTCTGCAAACCAAGAAGAGAGCCCTCACAGAACCAACCAGGCTGCCACCTTGATCTTGAACTGCCCGGCCTCCAGAATTGAAAAAAAATAAATCTCTGTAGTTTAAGCCACCCAGTGTATGGGCTGTCCGTCTCTCTCTCTCTCTCTCTCTCTCTATCTGTGTGTGTGTGTGTGTGTGTGTGTGTGTGTGTGAGCTATTGTTTTACACTGAATAGTCTGTGAACATCTTTCTATGTCTTTAAATAGTCTTACTATTCTTGGGGGCTGGTTACAGTGGCTCATGCCTGTAATCCCAGTGCTTTGGGAGGCCTAGGGAGCAGATCATCTGAAGTCGGGAGTTCGAGACCAGCCTGGCCAACATGGTGAAACCCCATCTCTACTAAAAATACAAAAAAAATTTAGCCAGGTGTGGTGGTACACGCCTGTAGTCCCAGCTACTAAGGAGGCTGAGGCAGGAGAATCGCTTGAACCCGGGAGGTGGAGGTTGCGATGAGCTGAGATTGTGCCACTGAACTCCAGTCTGGGTGACTGACAGAGAGAGATTTCATCTCGAATATATATATACACACACATATATATTTTTTCTTACTATTCTTATTTGCATAATTTTAAATGGCCACCACATCTTCACTTGGTGTGCATTTGCTCTGCTTCATTTAACCAACTGTTAATTTTCTTTTTTTTTAGATAGGATCTCATTCTGTCTCCTGGGCTGGAGTGAAGGGGCACAATCTCAGCTCACTGCAACCTCCACCTCCCAGGCTCCAGTGATCCTCCCACCTCAGCCTCCTGGGTAGCTAGGACTACAGGTGCACAAGACTATGCCTGGCTAATTTTTGTATTTCTCGTGGGGACTACATTGTCCACTACGTGCCCCAGGCTGGTCTCAAACTCCTGGGCTCAAGAGATCCTCCTGCCTCAGTCTCCCAAAGTGCTGGGATTACAGGTGCAAACCACTGCACCCAGCCCAATTTTTGGATTTGAATTTGCTAAATCCTACACTTGCAGTCTATGGTATTTTGTTATGGCAACCTGAGCTGACTAAAATGGCCAGGTTGCTATGATGGTAGGAGGGCATTGGTACAATGGCCAGAGAGCATTGCTACAAAGCCCATGACTGGTATATTGCATTTGAACTGGGATTTGGGGGAATGAACAACAAATTCCTGGTGGAAAACCTTGCTTTTGGCTTCCTTGAGTACAGAGATTCTTGACTCCAAGCGTATATCTGTGGAGATGTAGAGTCTCTCTCGGGGCCAGGCACAGTGGCTCATGCATGTAATCCCAACACTTTGGGAGGCCAAGGTGGGCGGATCACCTCAGGCTGGGAGTTCGAGACCAGCCTGGCCAACATAGTGAAACCCCGTCTCTACTAAAAATACAAAAATTAGCTGGATGTAGTGCTGCATGCCTGTAATCCCAGCTACTCAGGAGGCTGAGGCGGGAGAATCGTTTGAACACAGGAGGCGGAGGTTGCAGTGAGCCACGATCACACCACTGCACTCCAGCCTGGGTGACAGAGTAAGACTCTATCTCAAAAAAACAGAAACAAACAAACAAAAATTGAATATCTCTTGGGAACAACAGACATGGGAACATGAAGCTTCTAAGTAGGAGTGGCTCCTGCAGCTGCCCGAGCTGTCACTTGAGGGGCCACAGAGAATAGGTCTACACTCTGGCCAGAAAGAAATGTCTGGCACAGCCAGGCACTGTGGCTCATGCCTGCAATCCCAGTACTTTGGAAGGCTGAGGTGAGCAGATTGCTTGAGCCCAGGAGTTTAAGACCAGCCTGGGCAACATGGCAAAACCCTGTCTCTACAAAAAATACAAAAATTCGCCGGGCATGGTGGTGCACACCTATAGTCCTAGCTACTTGGGAGGCTGAGGCAGGAGGATCGCTTGAACCTGGGAGGTGAGATTGCAGTGAGCTGAGATCGCACCATTGCAATCTCCAGCCTGGGCAACAGAGCAAGACTCCATCTCAAAAATTAAAAACAGAAATGTCCGCCACCACCCACAATTTCTTTCCCCTACATCTAGCAAAGCAAACCAAGCGTCAGGCTGGCCTACTGTGGTCATGTAGTTTGCTCTTCTATTAATAGTTTAGTCATCAGCAAATGGGAACACCCTGGGACAAAATCCAAGCCATTGTCTGTTGTATCAATAAAGTTTTATTGGCACACAGACACGGTCTTTCATTTATGTATCTCTCCGGTTGCTTTGATGCTACCACGGCAGAGTCCAATCATAGTGACAGAGACCATCTCAATTATAAAGCTGAAAATATTTACTTCTCTTGAGCCCTTTACAGAAAAGGTTTGTTGACTTTTTTTTTTTTTTTTTTTTTGAGGTGGAGTCTCGCTCTGTCGCCCAGGCTGGAGTGCAGTGGCCGGATCTCAGCTCACTGCAAGCTCCGCCTCCCGGGTTCACGCCATTCTCCTGCCTCAGCCTCCCGAGTAGCTGGGACTACAGGCGCCCGCCACCACTCCCGGCTAATTTTTTGTACTTTTTAGTAGAGATGGGGTTTCACCGTGTTAGCCAGGATGGTTTCGATCTCCTGACCTTGTGATCTGTCTCTTATACACATCTAGATGTGTATAAGAGACAGCTACTACCTGCCTGGCTGAGAATTTAAACTCTTTTCTAGTGAGAGTCATGTGTGAGCTTGCTCCATGGATGGTACCCATGTGATGCATGGCCCTGGTCCATGCAGCTGCTCACACATCCAGTGAAAACTTTACTGTTTTTTTTTGTTTGTTTGTTTTTAATAGAGATGGGATCTCACTATGTTGCCCAGGCTGGTCTCAAACTCCTGAGCTGAAGCAATCCTCCTGCCTCAGCCTCCCAAAATGCTGGGATCACAGGTGTGAGCTGAAAACTTTACTGTTGCAGAAAAAGTGAAATGCATCTTGTTTCAAGAGTCTTTGTTCAAATGTTCTCTCTCTCTCTTTCTCTCGCTCTCTCTTTTTTTTTTTTTTCGAGAAAGAGTCTTGCTCTGTCTCCTAGGTTGGACTGCAGTGGCATGAACATTGCTCACTGCAGCCTCAACTTCCTGGGTTCAAGAGATCCTCCCACCTCAACCTCCTGAGTAGCTAAGACTACAGTCAGGTGTCACCACCTCTAGCTAATTTTGTATTTTTTGTAGAGATGGAGTCTTGCCATGTTGCCTGGGCTGGTCTCGAACTCCTGGCCCTAAGCCATTCTCCCAAAGTGCTGGGATTACAGGTATGAGCCACAATGCCCAGCCAAATGTTCTCTTTTGGTGACACTTCACCTGATCCCTCTCTTAAAACTGAAGCCCTGGCCGGGCGTGGTGGCTTAAGCCTGTAATACCAGCACTTTGGGAGGCCGAGACGGGCGGATCACGAGGTCAGAAGATTGAGACCATCCTGGCTAACACGGTGAAACCCCATCTCTACTAAAAAATACAAAAAACTAGCCAGGCGAGGTGGCGGGTGCCTGTAGTCCCAGCTACTTGGGAGGCTGAGGCAGGAGAATGGCATAAACCCGGGAGGCGGAGCTTGCAGTGAGCTGAGATCCGGCCACTGCACTCCAGCCTGGGCGACAGAGCGAGACTCTGTTTCAAAAACAAAAAACAAAAAAAACTACAACCGAAGCCCTCTCTGAGGTGGGAGGATCACTTGACACCAGGAGTTTGAGGCTTCAGTGTGCTATGATCACATTTGTGAATAGCCACTGTACTCAAGCCCGGGCAACAGAGTCATGAAGAGACTCCATCTCTAAGAAACAAAAAACAAAAACAAAAACAAAATCCAGGTGTGGTGAGCCTGTAGTCCCAAGTACTAGGGAAGCTGCAGTGGGAGGATTGCTTGAGCCCAGGAATTTGAGATTTCAGTGCACTGTGATCATATCACGTATTCCAGCTTGGGTGACAGAGCAAGACTCCATTTCTATAACAAACAAACGAACAACACAACACAACCAAAACCCAACAACAACAAATCTCTCCCTGCCTCCCAAAACAACCCTGCGGTCCTCTCCTTCTTTCCTGAACTCCTGCTTTTATTTTTTCTTTCTTTCATGACATGCATCACCTTTGAGCACACTATTCTGTTAATTGTTTGTTTGTTTGTTTTTGAGACAGAGTCTTGCTGTGTCCTCCAGGCTGGAGTGCAGTGGCACAATCTTGACTCACTGCAACCTCCACCTCCCAGGTTCAAGTGATTCTCTTGCCTCAGCCTCCTGAGTAGTTGGGATTACAGGCGCCACCACCACGCCCAGCTAATTTTTGTAATTTTAGTAGAAACAGGGTTTTGTCATGTTGGCCAGGCTGGTCTCGAATTTCTGTCCTCAAGTGATCTGCCAGCCTCACCCTCCCAAAGTGATGGGGTTACAGGCATGAGCTACCACACCCAGCCACACCATTCTGTTAATTTCTTGTTATGTCTGCTTCTAGTCTGATTCTGTGCCAGAAGGAAAGTTCCATGACGAAAGAGTCCTGTCTCTTATGTTTGTTGCTGTACCCCCAGGGTCTATAACAGGGCCCGACAAACCATTTCTGTTTCTGTAACAGGCTCTGTCCCAAGACTCTTCTCTGCCAATATAGTGCAAAAGCAGCCACAGGTGATTGTAAGCAAGTGGGCTTGGCTGTGTGTCAATAAAACTTTATTAACAAAAGCAAGCAGGGGGCCGCGCTTGGCTGGCAGGCTGGAGTTTGCCACCCTTTGGTCTGGAGCACCGCCTGGTACACAGTAGGTGCTGTCTGGGCAGATTAGTTGGAGCATGAATGGCGCCACCCTTGACTAGGCTCTGCCTTTGGGGAAGATTGGGTTCCCTGGGAGCCACAAGACACTAAGAAACAATGATGGTAGCAGATGCTCTTGTGACTTTAGCTGTGGAACTGATTTCCTCTTGGGACTATGTGAGACCTGGGATTTCAGGAGCGCTCTGGGGAGGCTCTGGGAGGCAGACCCAGCAGGCACTTGTCAGGGGGAAGGCAAGGTGCCATGAACCAAGGCCAGAGGGCCTCTCTCCTCCCAAAGGAGAGGAAGGAGGTTCTAGATGCCTCCAGGAAGCAAGCACTGAGGAAGTAAGGACTTTGTTCTGATCATCCCCACGTTCCCAATGTCCAGTACATGTTGGGTGCTTTTTTTTTTTTTTTGAGACAGAGTTTCGCTCTTGTTGCCCAGGCTGTAGTGCAGTGGTGTGATCTTGGCTCACCACAACCTCTGCCTCCTGGGTTCAAGTGATTCTCCTGCCTCAGCCTCTCGAGTAGGTGGGATTACAGGCACCTGCCACCATTCCAGGCTATTTTTTTTTGTATTTTTAGTAGAGACGCGGTTTCACCATATTGGCCAGGCTGGTCTTGAACTCCTGACCTCACGTGATCCACCCACCTCGGCTTTCCAAAGTGCTAGGATTACAGGCAAGAGCCACTGTGCCCGGCCAACTTGATATTTTCTTGGTGAGCAAAATAACTAAGGCTGGGGTTGTGCATCACCTCCCGGTGAGGGGCAAGGGTCACTCACCGAAGCAGGCCTGGTGGCGCTGGGTGAAGCCGGGTGGACAGCGGCAGGAGAAGGCGCCCACAGTGTTGACACAGAGGAACTGACAGTTGTGCTGCCGGGAGGTGCATTCGTCCAGGTCTGCAGCACAGATAGTCCAGCAGGCTCAGGGCAGGGCCCAGTCGGGGGTTAGGGGCTTCCCAGGGGCTGCCCTTGCTACCTCCAGGCAGAGGGATGACAAGAGAAAGATCCCGGAGATGGTGCTTGACTCCATGCAGATGGGAGGGGGTGAGATTGCAGGGGACAGGAGCAGGCAGGACCCTAGACTGCATGCAGTGGCGGGAGTGGGGGAGAGTTGAAAGGACATCACCTTTGCAGGTCCTGCCATCCTCCTCCAGCAGGTAGCCTCGGGGACAGCTGCATAGGAAGCTGCCCTTCGTGTTTTTGCAGAGGAAGGTACACGGCTTGGGGACCTGGCTGCACTCGTCCACATCTAGGGAAGGACAGTGGGGTGTGGTGGGGCGGGGTTAGACAGACATTCCCTGGGGGTGTTCAGGGACTGGGGTCTCCACCCAGACCTGGACCATCCGGAATCTGTGGACTTACATAGGAATTAACACTTTTTCTGCAAAAAGCCAGATGGTAAACACATTTGGTTTTGCAGGCCACATCGTCTCGGACACAACTACTCCATGTGGCCTTTGTACCAGCAAAGCAGACACTGAGGGTAAGCAGACAAATGTGTATGGCTGTGTGCTAATAAAACTTTATTGACAAGAACAATTGGAGGGCCAGATTTGACCCTCAGGCTGGGGTTTGCCTCCTGCTGACTTAGATGTACACTTGCTACAAAACGTAACTGAAAAATCTCAGGATGTGCAAAATAAAAGAAACAACAGCAGGAAAGTGGCCCAAATGGGATGGGGGTGGGAGAAGGAAAGGATGCTCCCTCCCTCCCTCCCTTCCTTCCTTCCTTCCTCTCTTTCTTGAGACGGACTCTTGCTGCATCACCCAGGCTGGAATGCAATGGTGCAATCTCGGCTCACTGCAACCTCCGCGTCCCATGTTCAAACAATTCTCCTGCCTCAGCCTCCCAAGCAGCTGGCATTACCGGCACATACTACCGCACCTGGCTAATTTTTTTCTTTTTCTTTCTTTTTTTTTAGTAGAGATGGTTTCACAATATTGGTCAGGCTGGTCTCAAATTCCTGGCCTCAAGTGATCCTCCTGCCTCAGCCTCCCAAAAGGTGCTGGGATTACAGGCATGAGCCACCTCACCTGGCGTTCTTTCCCTTCCTTCCTCTCTTTTCTTTCTTTCTTTTTTCTTTTCTTTCTTTCTCTCTTTTTTCTTTCTTCTTTCTTTCTTCTTTCTTTCTTTCTCTTTCTTTCTTCCTTCCTTCCTTTCTTTCCTTTCTTTCCTCTTTTCTTCCTTTCTTCCTTTCTCTTTCTTTTCTCTCTTTCTTTCTTGACAGAGTCTCACTCTGTTGCCCAGGCTACAGTGCAGTGGCATGATCTCAGCTCACTACAACCTCTACTTCCCGGGTTCAAACGATTCCCCTGCCTCAGCCTCCCAAGTAGCTGGGATTATAGGCATGCAGAAGCACGTGCAGCTAATTTTTGTATTTTTAGTACAGATGGGGTTTCACCATCTTGGCCAGGCTGGTCTTGAAATACTGGCTTCAAATGATGTGCCCACCTTGACCTCCCAAAGTGCTGAGATTATAAGCATGAGCTACCATGTGTGGCCGGTTTTTTTTTGTTTTTTTGTTTTTTTTTTGAGACAGAGTCTCGCTGTGTCGCCCAGGCTGGAGAGCACTGGCATGATCTCAGCTCACTGCAACCTCCACCCCTCCAGGTTTAAGCAATTCTCTGCCTCAGCCTCCGAAGTAGCTGGGATTATGGGATTACCGGCGCGTGCCACCACGCCCGGCCAATTTTTTTGCATTTTCAGTAGAGACGGAGTTTCACCATCTTGGCCAGGCTGGTCTTGAACTCCTGACCTTGTGATCCACCCGCCTCAGCCTCCCAAAGTGCTGGGATCACAAGCCAACACGCCCGGCCTTCTTTTTCATTTTTTAAGAGACAGGGTCTCACTCTGTCACCCAGGTTGGACTGCAGTGGCGCAATCACAGCTCACGGAAGCCTCAGACTCCTGAGCTCAAGCAGCCTCCCAGGTATCGGGGGCTATAGGCGCATGTTGGACTACAGGCCACCATTCCTGGCTAATTTTTTTTTAGCAAGATGGGGTCTTGCTATGTTGCCCAGGCTGGTCTGAAACTCCTGGACTCAAGTGATCCTCCCACCTCGATCTCCCAAAATACTGGGATTACAGTAGCGGGCCATTGCACTTGGCCCTCAGTTGTCTGTATGGTTCGGGCACCACTTTGTAAATGAAACCCTAACATTGCAAACTGCAAAGTCTCAGGGAAGTTGTGGTCAGGGGCTGCGCAGGAGGTGGCCGGGCTGGGCCAAGGGTGCAGGTGCAGAGGGCTGGGCTCACCCAGGCAGGTGGTGGCAGTAGCATCTGGTGTGTACCCGGCCTGACAGTGGCAGCGGAAGGAGCCGAGGCTGTTGATGCACTCTCCATGGGCACACAGGTGAGCAAGCATACGGCATTCATCTACATCTGGGGAAAAGCAGGGCGCAAATGGGGCTGGCTGGCTACCTTGGGCCATTGAGGCATGTCTCCTCTCTGGCCGCAGCCATCTCCTCGGAGCAAAGTCCAGCCTGCCTTCCACACCCGCCACTGCACCCCAGCTCATGTGGACCCCATCTTCAGGCTGCGGATGACACCTGAGCCCGCAGGACAAGCCCATGAAGCTTCCCAGGGAGGGGGACACACACCCACCTCCCCCGGCCTCAACAGCGATACCTCCTCAGTGCACCAACATGCACAACAGAGATACACAGTGCATGCAACATGACACAACCACACACCCGACGCTCCTGCAGAAACACGGGAACATACACCCACACTCAGGGACTCCCGCGTCTCCCCCCAGACACACCCCCAGAAAGCCATTTCCTCCCCAGTCCTATTGATGTCACTGCTGGTCACACAGATAACCCATCTCACTCTCAGTGACACACTCAGTGAGACACGCTGATGTCCCCACACTGGCTCACACGCACTCACACACCTGCCCTTGTACACTCACCCAAGCCCACAACACACAGGCCGCCTCCCAAAGTGCTGGGATTACAAGCGTGAGCCACTGTGCCCGGCCTATTTTGTTTTTGTTTTTGGAGACAAAGTCTCGCTCTGTCGCCCAGGCTGGAGTGCGGTAGCACTATCTTAGCTCATTGCAGCCCCAAATTCCTGGGCTTAAGCTTAAGCAATCCTCCAGCTTCAGCCTCCCAAAGTGCTGGGATGACAGGTATGCCACTGGGAGGCAGAGGTTGCAGTGAGCTGAGATTGCACCACCGTACTCCAGCCTGGGTAACAAAGCAAGACTCTGTCTCAGAACACACACACACACACACACACACACACACGCTGACTCTCACACACACACACATTGACTCACACACCTGCTCCCTCAACTCCCCGAGTTCTTCCACGCATATGGAGCACATGTACTGGTTCTCATATCTGCTAGCACAAAGACACACACACACACACACACACGCACACACAGAGTGGCTCACACATTCTAGCACCTGCTGCAGTACAGACGCATGACCCTCAGCAAATTCCCCCGCTTCTTGCCTCCCTGAGGGTCCTGAGGGCATGGGCACCCACCTCGACCCTCAGCGGTGTAGCCTGAGCCGTGGGGGCACAGCTTCCTGTAGGCGGAGGTGCCAGGCAGGGGACAGAGCTCGCAGCGGGGCCCCCAGCCCCGACCACCCCCACAGCAGCACTCGGCCCTGGTGACAGCCTCGCTGCTGCTGGACAGAGCCTGGCACATAGCCTGCAGCACCTCGGCAAAGCAGGGCCCCTGCCGGATGTCTGCGGAGAACAACAGGAAAGCCAAGGGTCACTCCAGGAGGCTGGTTTGGGGGCAAAGACTGATCTTACTTTGGGGCAAGCTGTTCTTTGGGGATGTTGGGAATAGGGGTATCCAGGAGGGAGCTAGATACACAGGACAGATATCTGGGGTTAGTTCCCAGGAAGTGGGAGATCTGGGGAAGGTTGGTTCCAGGGTGTGGCACCAGTGAGGTTGGAGAAGGTGTGGAGAAGGCCTCTCACTCTTCCAGGATTTAACAGAAGGGACAGAGGGAAGAGGGACAGCAGGGGAGCACTGGACGTGTGTGTCCAGATTAGCTCAGCAACCCCCTGGGTTGCCCCCCAGTGCCCCAGGCCCCTTGGGGAGCTCCCAGGCAGTAGGAGGGACAGGCAGTGGGGGGACAGGCAGTGGGAGGGACAGGCAGCGGGGGAGACAGGCAGTGGGAGGGACAGGCAGCGGGGGAGACAGGCAGTGGGAGGGACAGGCAGCGGGGGAGACAGGCAGTGGGGGAGACAGGCAGTGGGAGGGACAGGCAGTGGGAAGGACAGGTGGTGGGAGGGACAGGCGGTGGGAGGGACAGGCGGTGGGAGGGACAGGCAGTGGGAAGGACAGG